ATACACAGAGTCACTGTACCAAAAAGAACTGGTCGACATTCAGCCATTTCAGGAAGGAGCATATGATCAAGAATCAATGGTATTGAAGGAAGAAGTCCAAGCTGCACTGAAGGCACTGGCGAAAAACAAGGCTCCAGGAATTGACGGAATACCAACTGAGATGTTTCAACAAATGGATGCAGCGCTGGAAATGCTCACTCGTTTATGCCAAGAAATTTGGAAGACAACTACATGGCCAACCGACTGGAAGAGATCTATATTTGTACCCATTCCAAAGAAAGGTGATCCAACAGAATGCAGAAATTATCAAACAATATCATTAATATCACACTCAAGTAAAATTTTGCTGAAGATCATTCAAAAGCAGTTGCAGCAGTATATGGACAGGGAACTGCCAGAAATTCAAGCTGATTCAGAAGAGGACATGGAACAAGGGATATCATTGCTGATGTTAGATGGATCCTGGCTGAAAGCAGAGAATACCAGAAAGATGTTTACCTGTATTTTATTGACTATGCAAAGGCATTCGACTGTGTGGATCATAACAAATTATGGATAACACTTCAAAGAATGGGAATTCTAGAACACTTAACTGTGCTCATGGGGAACCTGTACTTAGACCAAGAAGCAGTTGTTTGAACAGAACAAGGGGATACTACGCGGTTTAAAGACAGGAAAGGTGTCCATCAGGGGTGTATCCTTTCACAATATTTATTCAATCTGTATGCTGAGCAAGTAATTCGAGAAGCTGGACTATATGAAGAAGAACAAGGCATCAGAATTGGAGGAAGACTCCATTAACAACCTGCGATATGCAGATGACACAACCTTGCTTGCTGAACGTGAAGAGGACTTGAAGCACTTATTGATGAAGATCAAAGACCAGAGCCTTCAGTATGGATTACACCTCAACATAAAGTAAACAAAAATCCTCACAGGTGGACCAATAAGCAACATTATGGTAAACGGAGAAAATATTGAAGTTGTCAAGGATTTCATTTTACTTGGATCCACAATCACCGCCCATGGGAGCAGCAGTCAAGAAATCAAACGACACATTGCATTGGGCAAATCTGCTGCAAAAGACCTCTTTAAAGTGTTAAAAAGCAAAGATGTCACCTTGAAGACTAAGGTGTGCCTGACCCAAGCTATGGTGTTTTCACTCGCCTCATATGCATGTGAAAGCTGGACAATGAATAAGGAAGACCGAAGAAGAATTGATGCCTTTGAATTACGGTGTTAGTGAAGAATATTGAATATACCATGGACTGCCAAAAGAATGAACAAATCCTTCTAGGAAGAAGTACAGCCAGAATGCTCATTAGAAGCAAGGATGGAGAGACTTTGTCTCACATACTTTGGACATGTTATCAGGAGAAGCACATCATGCTTGGTAGAGCAGAGGGTCAGCGAAAAAGAGGAAGACCCTCAAGGAGATGGATTGACACAGTAGCTGCAACAATGGGCTCAAGCATAACAACAGTTGTGAGGATGGTGCAGGACTGGGTAGTGTTTTGTTCTGTTGTACATAGGGTCTCTGTGAGTCGGAACTGACTCAACGGCACGTAACAACAACGACAACATGAAACACAGTTGTACTCTGCACATGTGGAGTCGCCATGAGTCAGAATCGACTCAACAGCAACTAACAACAACAAGGCACAGAGCCAAGCAAGCTCAAGCAGGGGAAAAATACAGACCACATGGAGATCAGCAAGGAGCCAAGGAACAGAAGCTGAAAAGAGACAAGGACCTTCTCCCAGAGCTGACGGAGAGAGCCTTCTCCTAGAGCCGGGGCCCTGAATTCACACCTCTAGTCTCCTAACTGAGACAATAAATTTCTATTTGTCAAAGCCACCCACTTGTGGTCTTTCTGTTACTGCAGCAGTAGGAAACTAAGACAGCCGAGGTGGGCAGGAGCTCTGTGGTCTGCCCCTTCAGGCTGAGCTGGTGCTGGCCTTGCCTGCCCTACAGCATCCCTGTCTGGGGTACTGGCTTAGCAGCTGGGGTCCCAGCTTACTGCACCACCATCTCCACCCTCTGGCTGTGTGTCTGTGGGGAGTCCAGCAGAAGAGTGGGAGGTGCCTCTCCAGATGTGAAGGAGGCTGTGTCCCTCAGAAGATCTTGGAGGCTAGGGATCTCGGGGACCAGCCCTCTGTGCGCCCCACCCTCAGCTCCCACCTCAGCTTCAGAAAACCAGACCTACTGCCTCCATGAGTGCATACCTCTACCACTTACCAGTGAATCAGTTAGTGAAGACACTAACTACGTGCTTCTCCAAGTGTGGACCCCGGGGCCAGAAGCATCAGCACCACCGGGAGGACTTGTTAGAAATGCAAATTCTGAGATTCTAATACACGCTCAAATTTGATAATCACTGACATAGAGAATTGTGCCATCAACTAATCAGTTAATTAATTGTTAATCCCCTCCTATGTGACCAGGAGTCCCATGATGGCACAAACAGTTAATGCACTCAGCTGCTAACTGAAAGGTTGGCAGTTCAGAGGCAGTGGAGAAGAAAGGCTTGGCAATCGGCTTCTGAAAGATCACAGCCAAGGAAAACCCTATGGAGCATAGTTCTACTCTGACACACATGGGGTCACCATGCGACAACTGGTTTTGGTTTGTTTTTCTTGTTTGTTTGGTACTATCTGACTGGTGCAGCCCTGGTGGCACAGTGGTTAAGCATTCGGCTGCTAACCAAAAGGCTGGCAGTTCTAATCCACCAGCCACTCCTTGGAAACCCTATGGGGCAGTACTACTCTGTCCTGTAGGGTTGCTATGAGTTGAAATTGACTCGACTGCAAATTTTTTTTTTGTTTTAATGTGACTGGTGGTATAGCCTCCACTTTTGCCCACCTTTTCTTTGCAGAGCTGTAGGTAATCTTGTGCACACATACACATTCGCCAACAGACACTCAACCACACACACATACACAGCCAAAAAGATACTGGCATTTACTTACCAATACATGGATGCAATCATTAATAAAGACCCACAGGTGTGTTGAAGAACTGATGAGCATTGTGGGCAGACCTGGCTACTAATAAAGTGGAGGCACGGGTGGCTGAGTGGATTATCCAATAGGCCAAGTAAGCACGGTGCTTACCTTGCTTACCAGATCATCTGTAGTGAGCAATTTCACATGGGTTTCACCGCATAAAATATGTGAAATTATTCACTACAGATCAGTAAGTAAGCATAAGTAAGCCTGTGCTTACCTCGCTTACTGAATCATCTGCCCCTCTCAGGGACTGTAAATTTGAAAAAAGCCTTTGATTTTGTAGGATGTGAGGTTGGGAGACAGATGCCAGCCATACCTAGAAGCAGAGTCTTTGATGTGGTGAAAAAAAAAGTAAATTGTTCACTACAGATGATCTGGTAAGCAAGGTAAGCACTGTGCTTACCTTGCCTATTGGATAATCGGCCCCTGGGTGGAGGTACTGGTGAAAGGACACGGCCAGGACTGCACACTCCACAGCCCAACTCAGTTTGCTGAAGACTCAAAAAACAATTGACGCCCTGCTCGTGGACATCTCACGGCGTACTTAAGGGAGGCGTGCCCAGACTTGTTTGCGAGCAGCCAGCTAATCAGTTCATCCCAACAATGTGTCAGCGGGATTCATGGTGTCCAGATCATCTGCAGTATTTTTTTTTCCTCCTTTCTTATAAATCTTGATTTTGCCTCTGTTCTTCGGATCAGTCCACCAAGCGAATCCTCACGTGTCCGTAAAGTGTGCAAAGTGACCAGCCATCTCACTTGAGTTGCTCTTTGACAACGTGCCCACACACAGCACCCATCAACTGACACACATTACCCAAGTGACATTTCACACCCGGGCACATGCATGCATACAAGCATATCACACATGCTTGCACACACATGCTCACATGCACCTCGTGTTTGTAAACAGACACACACGTACAGAATCCATCAGACACAACTGCACCCTCATAAGAATAAAGGAAAATACACACGACAGTCCCAGGCTCTCTGAACGGACGGGATTCACACCAATTTGGGGCCATTTGATCAAAATGTGTCCCCATTGTCACTGTTCCTAAGAGCCCCTTCAGTAGACTATAGAGCATGGCTGCCTTCTCCTTAAATTAAAAAAAGAAAGGAAAAGAAAAGAAATAGATCTCTTCCAATGTCTTTATTATTATTATAATTATCATAATCTTCAATTTTCAAAAATATAAATAGGTGCACGGAACCCTGGTGCCTGCACGGTCCCGGGGGGGAGGGGGAAGGGGGAGGGGGATAGGTGGCACACCCACTGGGGAGGGAGTGCCTCCCCCACCCAGCCCTGCTGAGATAGACACCCGCTAGGGTGGCAGACCCGGGTGAGAGGACCCTGGAGGAGAGACCCTGAAGGGAACTCGACTCCTACGCTGCGGAAGACCCCTTGCAGGGCTCTCTCCTGCCCACTCACCCTCGCCGGAACCCCGCCCCTCTGCCCCAGGCGACAGAAGTCGCGGCCCTCCCGGCTCTGTCTTGTCCAATACATTCAGCTGAGGCTCGGAGCTCTTCACGCGCCCGGGCCTCCGCGAGCTCCTCCCAGCTCCTCCGATCCCTCCTCCCTCCGCCTCAGCTCTCCCTGGAGATGAAATAATCCATTGCACTGCTCTTGGGTAAAGTCAGGAAACAAAAAATAATCTTCTTTATTTAACTTAACCCCTCCCCTTTCCCCGTCCCTGCACTGCTCCCCGGAAAGGCACAACAAGAGATTGAAGAAATGTCTCTAAACTCAGTCCACGGGTTACACGAGTTTGCTTTTGCTTTGGTATTTGGGGAAGAAAAAAATTAGATGCATTTCTGGCGATTTGGGGATGGGTGGGTGCATACACAATGTGGGATTTTGTTTTTCCTTCTTTAATGGAATTCCTTATATGACAAAAAGCGACTAGAAGAAGACACCATCTGTGTGGAATGCGCTGTCAGCTTGGCAAGGCTGCTGGGCTCAGTGTCCTGGGCACATCCCAGAAGCTTCTCTCAGTGGGCGGAGCTGGGGCGGCTTCTCTGCGGGGATCTGGAGCTCCGTAGCCGGCGCTTGTAGGTGGAGGCTGGGGGAGAGAAAGGGATGGAAAAGTATCGCCAACCACTCTGGGAAGAAAGGGGGGCCAACCCTAGTTCCTCCCCACCTTGCCCTGGTCATGGGCTCATGAAGGCAGCCTGGAGCTTTCCCATCTTCCCTGTTTTTGGTTTCATTTTGAACCTCCTGGAGCCCTGGTAGTGCTCAGCTGCTAACCAAAAGGTCAGCAGTTCGAATCTACCAACTGCTCCTTGGAAGCTCTATGGGGCGGTTCTACTCTGTCTTATAGGATCGTTATGAGTCGGAATTGACTCCATGGCGAAGGGCTTTCATTTTTTCGAACCTCCGTGGCCTAAGGGGATTGAGGCTGGTGTTGGAAAGGAAAGCAGGCCACCAGTTTTCTCCTTCATCCTCTTGGGAAAGGTAAGCCCTTCCCTGGCAGGGGAACTCACTCTCCCTAGGGGCAGGGGGCAGGATTTAGAACTTCACTGCTCTCTGACCTCACTGCCCTTACTCATCTCTGTGGATGGTGCAGATAGCTGGCCACTGGGGTCCTAGGGAGGGCAGCACTACTGCTCTGGGGCAGAGAGAAGGCCATTTTGGCAGAACTGAACCCTGAACCCAGCAACAGGTAGGAGGTGAGATGCTCACGGTCCATGCAGGTGATCCGAGGCTCCTCCCAGTGCCCACTGGGCTGGCACCGAATGGTGGGCACGTGGCGTTGCACAAAGCCCTCGGCGCACTGGTACCGCACCAGGGAGTTGATTTCATATCGGTCCTTCTTCTGCCCAAAGGTTCTGGCATGCTCCACCATGGGGGGGTCTCCGCAGGCCACTAGGGAACAAACACCCTTTAGAAAGGGCTCTCCTAGGGTCTTCCATGGTGACCTACCCTGGTGATGAGCCAGTGCAGCCACCTCTGGCTGCGACGAGATAGCCCAGAGCAGAACTCCAGAGTCGGGAGCAGACACTTGAAGCTGGGGCACTGTAGGAGGGGCACCGTGTCTGCCCACCCTGCAGTGAGTCCTGACTCTTGGCAGAAGGGAATTTTCATGCAGTACTAAGAATCTGGAAACCATTGGTCCTAACATCTGGGTCCCCCAGTGGTACAGAGCAGCAGGGAAGAAATAATGGGGGGTGGGGGGTTTAACAAACTCTAGAGTCCCTGGGTGGTAGAAACAGTTAACTTGCTTGGCTGCCAACTGAAAGGTTGGAAGTTTGAGTCCACTTAGAAGTGCCTGGTGATCTACTTCCAAAAAACCAAATATTGAAAACCCTATGGAGAATAGCTCTACTCTGACACACACGGAGTCACCGTGAACCGGGGTCAACTCGGTGGCAACTGGTGCTGGTAACAAACTGTGGTACATCCATACAAACCCATACCCAAAACTAAACCCATTCACATTGAGTCAATTCCAGTTCATGGCGACCCCATGTGTGTCAGAGTAGAACTGTGCTCCATAGGGTTTTTAATAGCTGTGATCTTACAGAAATAGATTGTCAGGCCTTTCTTCCATGGCGCGACTGAGTGGATTTGAACTGCCAATCTTTTGGTTAGTAGCCGAGTGCAAACCGTTTGCAATATCCAGAGACCAGGGTGTATTCATACAATGGAGAATCACTCAGCGATGAAACGAAATGAGCTATCAAGCCACGAAAAGACACGGAGGAACCTGAAATGCATACTGCTAAGTGAAAGAGGCCAGTCTGAAAAGGCTGTATACTGTATGATTTCAACCATTTGACATTCTGGAAAAGGCAAAACTATAGAGACAGTGAAAAGACCAGTGGTTTCCAGGGGTTTGGGGGGAGGTGGGGAGGGATGGATAGGCAGAGCCCAGGGCATTTTTTTGGGCAGTTAGACTATTCTGCAGGATGCTGTAATGATGGACACGTGATATTATGGATTTGTCAAAACCCATAGAACTGCACAACACAAAGAGTAAATTCTAATGTAAACTATGGATTTGAGTTAACAATAACATATCAGTATCAGTTCATCCATTGTAACAAATGTAACACAGGACTGTGAGATGTTAATAAGGGGAACTGTAGGGGGAGGAAGGTAAATGGAAACTCTGTATTTTCTGCGCAATTTTCTGTAAACCTAAAACTTCTCTAAATAATATAGTCTGTTAAAATAAAAAGGGGAGACTCCTAAGGGGATGCAGAGAAGACAAAAGGGAGGGAGGGAGGAAGGAAGGGAAAGAGGGTGAGACCAGCCAGACGGCCTGTAATTTCTTTATGAAACCCTCCAGTGCAGGAAAAGTGGGACCTGAAGGAGGCCTGGGGGCGAAAGGCCATGAGCAGGAACAGGTGGGGGTGTCCGACCAGCACCTCAGTGTCCACAGACTTCCAGCTGAGCTCTCTGGGCCTCTGGGGTCAAAGCCTGACAACTCTGACTCTTGGTGACTGATGAACTTGAGAACCTCAAAGAGAGGGAGGCCTCCAACCCATGATCGTGGCTTACTTCCTGCTGCCCACATCCAAGGGACCGTGTGTGTGTGTGTGTGTGTGTGTGTGTGTGTGTGTGTGTGTGTGTGTGTGTAGCAGGGGATTCTGCCTGTGAACTCCACCCTCTCCCTGTCCCTGTCCATGGTCCCTGGGAGCAGACTTGCCCTTGGAGGATGCTTGCCCTGGGGATGTTGGTGCTGGGAGAACCTCCCACACCCCCAGATAACCTCTGATCTGCTTGTTTAACAGGTGAAGAGACATCAGCAGCTGAGATGAGGTGACTTGGCCCAGGCCACACAGCCAGCCAGGACTAGGGCCTAAAGTCTTGATTCTATATGCTTGGGACCCCCTCCCAGTCCCCTGCTTACCTGTGCCCTTTTTACACGTGAAAGGCAGGAGGTAATTACAGGGGACATCATTCCACTCGCCCTTCTCATGCCAGATCATCACCACGCAGTCCTCTTTGGTGGTAAAGAAGTTGTCTGGCTGGTTGGGGCGCCAGTTGTCATATTGCTGCAGGGAGGGAGGGGGAAAGGTGTGATGAAAGGGCAGGAGCAGCTGCAGCCTGGCCTGACCCCTGCTTTCTCCTCTGTCAAGCTTCTCCTTTGTCTCCTTTCTGTTTTAGCCCAACTTCTGACTCATCCAGGAGCAGCACAAAGGCTGCTGGGAGTCTGGTAAGGGTTGTCCTGGGCACCATGGAAACCATGGGCCCTCGAATGAGCTGGTTACACAGCCTGGCTCTGGACTTTTCCCAGAGCTCAGACCCTCAAGGATTCACAGTCTTGTTAATGAGCTGATTATTGTTGTTAGCTGTCCCTGAGTTGGCCCCCAACTCATAGTGACCCCATGCACAAAGGGATGAAATGCTACTCGGTCCTTCACCGTCTCCATGATTGGTTGCAGTTTGAACTGTTGTGACTGTTGGGCTCCATAGGGGTTTCATTGGCAGATTCTCAGAAGTAGATCACCAAGCCTTTCTTCCTAGTCTTAGTCTGAAACCTGTTCAGCATCATAACACGCAAGCTTCCACTGAAGGCCGACACTCCCCTTTTTCATATGGGCGAACAGAGGCTCACCCCAAAGACTGTCTTGCTTAGATTTGACTAAAGGGCAGAACCATGGCTCACATTCCAGACTGCCCCAGGCTTCTCCCTCCAGCCTTGCTTCAGGGGAAAGATAGTCTGCTTTCTTCTAATTTAATTGCTTGTTCACATTCACCTCTTCCATGGAGCCTCCCCTGAGCTCCTGCAGCATTTACTGCCCATATAGTTCATTTAGAAGCCCTGGTGGTGCAGTGGTTAAGTACTTGGCTGCTAACCAAAAGGTCGGTGGCTTGAACCCACCAGTCGCTCTACAGGAGAAAGATGTGGCAGTCTGCTTCTGTAAAGATTTACAATCTTGGAAACTCTATGGGGAAGTTCTACTCTGTCCTATAGGGTTGCTAGAGTCTGAATCGACTCGACTGCAGTGGATTTTGTTTGGGTTTACAGTTCATTTATGGAGCTTTGGTTGAACAAGGGTTAAAGGCTTGGCTGCTAACTGAAAGGTTGGCTGTTTGAACCCAGCCAGTGGCTCCTCAGGAGAAAGACCTGGCGATCTTCTCCTGTAAAGATTACAGCCAAGAAAACCCTATGGGATAGTTCTACTCTGTCACATGGGGTTGCTATGAATCGGAATTGACTCAATGACACCTAACAACAATATAGCTCATTTGGTACCTAGGTTGCTTTCTGTCTGTCTGTCTCCTTGAGTAGACTTGAGTCCTCTGTGGGCAAGGAGTCTCTCTAAAGTGTCTACATATTCCTCAGGGTGGTTTTATTCATTTCCTTCCTCGTGACATCATTTCCTGAATGAGACACATCCCTCCCCTGTGGGCTCACGGTCCAGCAGCTGCCCATTATGTACTGGGACAAGGTTTGAATGTTTCTGTCTCTGGTAGTTTTCGTCCCACCCCCTCTCCTCTGGGCCACCAGCTGTGTCTGATGCCCTTGACATGACTCACCAAGGGGTGTCCATCTGACCAGCGGAAGTCCCCTTCAATGGTCCTATCATTTAGGCCGATCCACTGGTAGTCTTGAGCATTGTCTGGAGAGAGAACATGGGTGTTGGGAGGGGCTGGGCACTGATGGTGCCTAGTGACTGGAGCTTTTGGAGGGGCGATGGGAAGTGGTGGGCTCCTGGGAGTCTTTAGAAGGCTCTCACACGTGCATGGTGGGACTGCACATTGGCCACCTTCCCATGCTCCCATGGGCTGGTGACAGCCAGAGGGTTAGGTCTGAGGGCTGACTCTGACTGACAGTGGGCTGGTCTGGGCGCAGCCAGAGCTTCTGGTCCCCAAGACCTCTGTCTTCTTCCCTCAGGGAACTCAAGCTGTGCAAATGTCCTTCCCTCCTTCTCTACCCTCTACCCCTGTAGACTCACTGGGCCCAAGTCTGCTGACTCCTGGTGAGTGAGGCCCTTTGCCCAGATGGCCACTCTCCTCTCAGGCCCAAGGCCCCACCCCACTTACTGTTGACAAACTCCTGCTCCTCAGGGGTGACAATGCTGCTCAGGTGTGACTGCTGCTCTCGACACAGGCTCTCGGCATCCACCCAGGTCTTGCGGTCGGAGAAGTGGCGGTAACAGTGGCCCTGGAACTTGGTCCAGCCCTCCTCACATACCTCCTGGTCTGCAACACAGGTCAGGAGCATGAAGGGGGGCCTGAGGCCGACTGGGGAGGACAGTTGCTGCCAGTCTGATGGCATGAACCCCTATATTTGCTCTACCTTAAATGTCATGCCCTCCAAGAAGGGAGAGGCCCAGCTCAAGCTGTAAGTCAGGAAGGTCTGGTCATGACCTCCAGGGACCTCAGAGCATGTCTCTTCCTTCTGGAAAATGTCAGGGACCCTTGCTCTCCCTGATGTCACCCTGGTGATGCCTGCTCTGGAAGGCTGGTAGCCTCTCATTCTTCAGGGTAAGCACATGCTAGCAGGCCAGGTAAAAGGATGTAGGAGATTGGGCAGCTTTGATGTTCAAGGCACATGTGGTTCAGAAGTGCCGAGGGCCTCCAGGGAGAGGAGGGAGCTAGGGGCACACAGGTGGAGGCAGCAGGAGTGGCCGTGTGGGAGACATGAAATGGAGCTGACAGCTTCCTTCCAGCAGAACTTGGGGTGGGGATGGCAGAGCAGAAATACATCTGCTTTGAGTCCAAGGAAGGCTCTGAGAAGTCCACCAATCAGAGCTGGCTCTAGCTGAGTGCACAGTCTGCCTCTGGGGCTCTGTGTTTTGTGTGTGTGTGTGTGGTAGATGGGAAGAGGAGAGGAGCCCAACCCCTCACAAACCTATTTTTAATAGGTCCTAGTTCTGGAGAAGGGGCTGCTTTGGACAGCTCTTGGGCAGCCTGAGGATGGAGGCTGGGCTTCTCTTCCCAACTCCATCTTCAGTGACCTTGGAATGCGAGCTTTAAATTGGCTCTGGTGGGAGTATTTACACCTCAGAAATGGGCAGATGCTATACATCAGGGCTCCCTCTCCCTCTGTGAGAGCCAGTTGTTAAACATTTGCCAGCACACCACTGGACAGAGGGGGTTCCAAGACCCTCCCTCCCTTCTTCCCTGGGGGTCTCCAGGTGAAGGGCTGCCCCAGGAGCTGAGTACAGGGCCTCAGGCTATATGGCAGCCTCCCTGATTGGGAGCCATCCACAGCCTGACTGCCCCAGGAGGGGAAGGAGTGTTAGGCTGAGGGGGTGGATGCTTGGCAAAACTGGAGGAGAGACACTTGGGAACAGCAGAGAGAGGGGAACGTCAGAGGCCAGCAGCCTGGGAAGAAAGGCAGAGCAGCAGGAGGGGCTAAGGAGGATGCATCTGTTTTCCTTGCTGCCAATGCCTTCCCCAGAGGGCGAGGCAAAGATCTGGCAAGAAGGCAGGAGGCAGGAGAAGCCACAGTGGCAGAGCAGCACCTGAGGAGACCAGAGACCTCATCCCAGGATGGCATGTGCGGCCACTACTTGGGCCAGCTTGGTGTCTAAAGTTTGAGCTTGGCAGGCAAAGTTGGGGGTGCAGCTTCTCTGGGAGGGGGCCAGGACCGTGCAGGATGGAGGCTCTGTGGAAACAGAAACAGAATTTGGGCAAGTATAGAAGAAGCAGGAAGGCCAGAGTCAAGGCATGAGCCACCTGTGCGGAGGTGAGGGTTCAGGATTGGAATGGGCCAGGAGATGCAGCCCAGTTGGGTGGCTCCTGAACCATCCTCTGCTCCATCAGGGTGCAGAGCCCTGTGAGCACCCTGTCTTCACTCCAGCAGAGCACCCCTCTCACCCATTTGGAAACTCAAGAGCTGTTGTCTGCATGGTTGTTCCAGACAGACCCCTCTCCCCCATGGCAAACGTTTTGGCAAGCTGGGGAGAAAATCCTTGTAGCTTTCCACTCCTACCCTAGCCAAGACTCCATGTACCTATTTCTCAGGGTCTTGGGATTAGGATGGAGGGTGGGTGGCTGCAGGGGAGGAAGACAGTCCATGCCCTTTCTTCCAGAAGCCTCAAGTTCCTCCACCAGTCTGTAACCTTGGCAGTGCCTCCAAGGACTATGCATCCAAAACCACCTCCTCAGCCTGCTCAGATGTCTTCTGGAAGCTTCTGGGATGTCCAACTTGAGAATTCATTGAAAATGGTTTTGCACCCCTGCACACTTCTGGTTCTGCGTGGGCCATTGCTACCAGCATCCAAAAGCCCCATTTCTCCCTTTCTGAGTTGGGAAACCCCTGAGATCCAGGAGGATGGGGGGAAACTAGGAAGCACCAAAGATGAGAGAGCAGGGGACTCAGTCTGGCCCTGGGAGGGCTCCTGGCACACAGCTCCCCTGGTGGAGCTGGTAGCCCAGCCCAGGTGCAGAAGTGGAGGGTTTGGCAAGGCCCAAGAGAGGAAATTCAGCCCCTGCCCTTGCATGAGGCTCTGTTCTCTCTGGCCAGTCCTTTGTCTGGCACAAGGGAGGGAGAAAGGAAGCATGGGCCTGAATGGCACTGACATGGCAGTTGTCATGGGGGTGATGAGGTGGAGGTAACATGCAGCAGTCCCTGCTCATGCATGACTTGAGAATGCTGGTGACACTCAGGCTCTCAGGTAGACAAGGAAGGAAGGCAGGTTAGCCACTGTGGCACGGTGGTTCCCAAGGCTGTGGAGGGGGGCCACAGAGGTCCCATGGGCAAGACAGTAGGCAGGCACATGCCCATGACCATGCTGGAAAGACCCGTGGCTGTCATCTGGAGAGAGAACCAATTCTTCCCACCCTCCAACTTCCTTCAAGACAAATTCAGGGAATCAGCTCTTTCTTAGTCTGACTTACACACCGACCTCAGTGGTGGAGCGCAGGTCTGAAAGCCCTGGAGGTTAGTGTTTTAAAGGTCCTCCAGAGCCCCACCTTCCAAAGTGCAGACTGGCTCAGCCTGCATGGGTCTTCTGTGGTCAGATCAGCTAATGCCCTAGAGGAGAGTTTTCAAGGGGAACAGCAAGAGAAGGAGTGAGTGAGTGGGGCAGGCTTCTCAGTAGTGGCCCTTGGAATGGCTGTCTGGATGGGCCTTGGGGGCCAGGGCCCAGAACCTGTGGTTAGAAGGGAAGGGTGAGGGAGGAGGAGATGGTACAGCAGTTAGTAACATTAGCTGAAGCCGAGACGGCCGTACCGATCTCACACAGGTTCCCTCCGTAGCTGGGAAGGCATAAGCATGTGAAAGAGTCGAAGGCATCCACGCAGGTGGCTCCATTCAGACAAGGGCTTGAGAGGCACTCATCAATGTCTGCAAGAAACCAAGGGCCACCATTAGGACTCCTGCTGGCAACTCCAGCTTTGGAAGCACTGTGGCCTCCTTATGAGTGGCAAGCCCTGTTGCTCTCCAGAGCCCTGGGAGGAGACTGGCTGAACTTCCTAAGAACTGTTGCTACTGCTGCTGCTGCCACCATCTTGGAGTGCTGAACCAAAGATCCAGACAAGGGTTTTCTTGGATGTGTGCTATTCTTGACTGGCAAGCTTGGAGTATTGGAGTCAGGTCTCCCAGTGGGTTGAAGAGATCTTGTTATTCTGAAGCCAGATGCCTTTTGTGAGAGTGAGCATGGAGATCCTCCAAGATACCTTCTCTTGTGAATATTTCAAGAAGGCATGGGGTCTAAACTGGCTTGGAACATAGCAGTGAGCAAGGATACTGGAAGTCAAGCTCTTGAAACTTGGTTAGAGGACTTTCTCTTTTCCATCTGGAACATGGCTTCCTCTGTAGTTATGAACCAGGGAAAGACAGCAAGGTTCTGCAGCACTAGAATGAACAGGCTAGAGGGGGCCTGCAGAGCGTAGGCAAATGAGACAATGGCAGCATGGGATATTCGTATGAGACTCATTAGATTTCTCTGGTTGCAGACACTTCTTTGCCTTTGTAAATAAGATTCTGAGAGTATCTTACAAAGATGAAGCCAGGATCTCTTTCTTGGGGAAGGGAAAGAAACCCTGTCCAACATTTCCCCACGTAACCTCCTTCAAGCTTAAGGTCCTAGAAGTTGGACATCTCCAGTGAGTCACAATTTCTAGAGGGGTTCCATCCTGGCCAGTGGAAGACAAGCCTTTGAAGCTGGTGAGGCACTTAGTAAGTGGCCACCTACTAGCACCAGCCTGGGATGATCCCCGTCAGCCTCTTCTTCTCAGGCAGGCTCTTCTTCCTTTCTCTTCTTCTGGTCCCAAGATATTCTTTCTGATCAAATGTGCTTGTGAAACTGAATAGGTAAGTCATCAACCTTTGCCTCCAATTTTCATTGATTAGCCAAGGTCAGAACTGTATCACCTAATTGATCTCTCTGCATCTTTTGGAGAAACCAGAAGACCTGGAAAGATCTCTTCATAGTTGTACTCCAAAGGCTCTTGCTGGTTCTTTCTGGTTTTCCTTGGGAACACAATAAAAGGTATTGTGGAAGTCCTCTTCCCAGGAGATCAGTGAAGTGGTGTATCAATGGCACCATGATATGTGATTTGAAGAGGCTAAGCTTTGGTAGGTGCAGCTGCATCCACACAACCATCAGGAACCAATGAGGTATCTACAGGTGGTTTCCATGTGAGCAGCTAAGCCCTGTGCGAGGAATAGGACGCCAGAGTATGTTCCAGGACTTAGTTCTTGCCTCCCATGAGCAGACCTGAGACCATTAAAGTCAATCCCCTGATAAGCTGGACAAAACACTTTCTGCTGGATCCATATAATGGCGGTACCTTATAGACATCCTTTAGGCCAGAGCTGGATTTGTGCAACAGGTGGCCTGAAAATCTCCAGTCCTTAGGCTTCTCTCACTTCCCACAAAGCTCTTAACTTTATCTCAGGGAGTGTACAGCAGTTCCAACAATTCCAAGTCTAGAACTGTTCCAAGTAAAACCGAAATGCATGGAGGAATGAACTGAGATCCCAGCATGCAATTGGATTCCCAGCATGCACCAGGATTCCCAGCAGCAGCAGTAGCAGCAATAGGTCAGGCCAGTCGGCGGGGTGGAAGCTGGGGGCGGCTCTCCTGCTTCAGGAAAGCTACTGTTCTCTTTTGTCCATTAGCGTCATTATGGGAAGCACTGGGCGAGGGGAAATTAAGCAAATATAGGCGCTAAAGCAGTTGTATAGAGCAGGGGACAGGAGTGGCCTCTGGGGAGAAGAGCCAGAGGCCAACCCTGGGGTCTCTGGC